GAGTGGATGAGTGAGTGAATGAGTGAGTGAGTGAGTGGGTGAGTGGGTGAGTGAGTGAGTGAGTGAGTGAGTGGGTGAATGAATGGGTGAATGAATGGGTGAGTGAGTGAGTGAGTGAGTGAGTGGGTGAGTGAGTGAGTGAGTGAGTGAGAGTGAGTGAGTGGGTGAGTGGGTGAGTGAGTGAATGAGTGAGTGAGTGAGTGAGTGAGTGAGTGAGTGAGTGAGAGTGAGTGAGTGAGTGAGTGAGTGAGTGGGTGGGTGAGTGAGTGAGTGAGTGAATGAGTGAGTGAGTGAGAGTGATTGAGTGAGTAGGTGAATGAGAGTGAGTGAGTGAGTGAGTAGGTGAGTGAGAGTGAGTGAGTGAGTGAGAGTGAGTGAGTGAGTGGGTGAGTGAGAGTGAGTGAGTGGTCATGTGTGATAGAACTAACTTCTCGTGTCAACCAGCGCGACCTATCAATGAACGAAAATATCTACTCGCTGAGATTTCAATCGCAACGCCGCGCGTCTAGAGCCCATTGCCTACGATACCTGCAAAGGGCGATCAGTTGACATTTAGTTATTAATGGGAAGTTATTTCCCAAGAAACATACAATAGAGTGTTGCCCTATGTATATGAATATCATTTCCCTGCAAAACAATCGATTTTTCTCGTACTCATTGCACAACATTTAAACCTGTATGATACGCTAGGTATGAAATGTCTGGGTTGAGTGGTTTTGGGGTGATTCAGGTAAGGCCACACCGGCTTAATTTTATGGATGACATCCGCGCACACTGATTTTTGCCAAAAAAGATCACGTCCACCGAGGCTCTGGCCTGGCTCTAGGTCTGGGTAGTCCATGGTAGTTAGGCCACACCAAGTAAATTTTATGGATGACGTCCGCGCGCGCATTGATTTTGGCCTGTTCCTAGAAAAAAAACAAGAAATTCTGCTTCCTGTAACTATGACCAAAGAGTGACGACAGTGCCGCAATTTTACGCTTTGTTTCTGCAGGCCTGCAAAAATGTGATGAAAGAAACAGGACAGGAAGACAACTGCTGTTCCACCTGATTTATTGCTGTTTTGATGATGAATAAAAGACTTCTTGCTTGTTACACTGTGTCACCTCATTCAATTTGTGTCCTAACATTTGTCGTCTCTTAGTATATTTCTAATCTAGGCATCTTGTTTTTAGGGCCCTAGTTTTTTTTTCGCCCTCTCGCATTAGATTTAGGGTCTCCAAAGGACGTCATCCATAAAATTTACTTGGTGTGGCCTTAGCGACAATACGGAGCCAGGCACCCAGGCTACCGAAGCTCCACGACTCAAGACCTCAGTACATACGTACAGTGCCGATTCAAAAGCTCTTTAAAAAGCCAGCATATACGTCGCTGTATTGCTGTGGTTAAGTACCATTTTATTTTTGGCCGGAATTTTTTTTATTCGCCCACGAGCACTAGTTTGGGGGTCTTCACAGGATGTCATCCATAAAATTATCGGTGTGGCCTAAACTTTTTTTTTCGCCGAAGTCCTTTACGGCATACGAGTATGTATGATTCAGACGGGTGTACAAAGATTGTCAACATGAGCGTCACGTACTAACTCACGTCAGGACGTCACCCAAAGGTATACTTTAGCCTTGAATCGTACAAACATTTCTTTCGACCTACAGCTAAACATAGTTTGATGTATTACAGCATGAAATAGCGCCCTGACGAGATACCAAGTGAAGATTATTGGGCAATAGGTCACTTTTGAACTTTCTTACCACTCACTCACCAGTCCCATAGCTGACTTAACCTTTTGTCAGAGAAATATCTGTACAAATTGCTTGGATTGTCAAAATGATAATTCGCGTCTGCAGTTGCTCGGGGTGGCTTCAGGAGGCTTATAATTACGAAGATGCTGCTGCTGCTGCAAATTGGTCTGGTGACATAACAGCACGGCAAAGTCACCTGGGCGAGATCTACACATGATAGATATGTGTTGCTTGTTAATAGCCACAGGCGATCGGTGTTGCATCACACGGCTTTAACCCTTGGCGCCAGACTGTTATATATCTATATCAATGGTTTATTTGCAATAAAACACAACAACACTGTCTCAAAAATGGCAGCAAGAGGCTGAATTGATGATATGGGGACATTACATAAACAGTATAAAACGTCATATTAAGCGATTAAAATAGTAATAAACCATTACATAAAATGTATATAAAATATTGTCAACAACGTTTCAAGTGCAAATTAATATTATAGCAGAAAACAATACAGACGGACAATGGTAACACTAAAATTAGTCTTAGGTCCAAAAAAGTGTGACAGTGTTACATATTAAGCAGGCGGATCATAAAGGGAAGAGCACTATTCTGATAACGATCAGTTCTGCTGCGAGGAGTGTTCAGTTTATAAGCTGATCTGGTTTGACGACCACTTATTGCACTTCTAACAGGTGGCAGAAAATGCCGGAACTGTTCAGACTTCGCAAAGTTCTCGACTTGACCGGTTGTGACCGAGGCTTTATGCGCACGGCATTTTAGCAAAAATGTACGAGTTTTGTTTGTTACATAGAGGTTGCCTGTCGCTTACAATAAGGCCAGACCGACTTAATTTTATGGATGACATCCGCGCGCGCATTGATTTTCGCCTGTTCTAAAAAAAAAAGATCACGTCCACCGAGACTCTGTCCTGGCTCTAGGCCTGAGTAGTCCATGATAGTTAGCGACAATACGGAGCCGGGCACCCAGGCTACCGAAGCTCCACGAATCAAGAACTACAGTGCTGATTCATAAATTCCGCAAAAGGCCAGCATGTGCCGGCTTGTCGTATACGTCGCTATGTACTGCCGCAAATTCACAATACCAGCTTTGTATTCCTGTGGTTTAGTAGCATTTTTATTTTTGGCCGGATTTTTTTTATTCGCCCGCGCGCACTAGTTTGTGGGTCTTCAGAGGATGTCTTCCATAAAATTAAGACGGTGTGGCCTATCATCAAATATTACAGTCTTGATATGATATATGACTGTCCCTCTGACGGAATCAAGTGTAACGTCGCAATATTGCCAAACTTGGCCTCTCATGACGTGTTGGACAAGCCGGTAACAAGAGAAGACATATCGAGGGAAATAAGAAGTTGACATGCTCGCCGCTGGCCATACATAACTCTTACATGGACGAGCTGACAGGAAATACTAGTAGAATCCGGTTGGTATTGATTCTATTTTGTGCGGGGTGGCTCAACATCTGCCAAGGTGCTCTTAGGGATAGATTGTGTATCTCTACAGCATCATGTGCGTTTGCAGACGCCAAAGGAACGCGTATATCAACCCCTTTACTCTTCGGGTTGTACGTGACTAACATTTAGATCGTGCTAGCGGTGCTCTAAGTGTACAACCATGTACCGCCTCAAGGGAGGGTTGTCTTCGCCGTTTTTACATTACCGATTGCGGTATTTGTAAAGTCAAAACTTCCTTCTTTGTGGGTGTGATTACATATCGTAATCACGAGTTAGCACCCGACTTGTTGGCGCCGTAGCTAGGCTGTTCAAAAAGACCCGAGGTTGTATGATGTATGTTCGAGACTGCATGTACCGGGGACCGGTGACATCGACTAGCCTCCTGTGCAGACCTCCGGGCGGGTGGGAGTTTTGATACTGCGTTTTGTAGAATTTTTAACGCGTTCTTTTGCCGGCCATCCTACAACCAGCCGCCCAGAGAAGGTCGGCGGGTATCAAACAGTCTATGTGCGGCTGGTTGTAGGATGGCCGGCATGACAAAATAACGACGTTAAAAAATTCTACAAAACGCAGTATCAAAACTCCCACCCACCCGGAGGCCTGCACAGGAGGCTAGATCTATACCTCGCCTTCCTGGGTGCAAGATCATGCCCGTAGCCAGTGGGGGGTTTGGGGGGTTCGGAAGAACTGCCCCACAAGGCTCAAAGGTTCACTTTTTGGTCCACTTTTTATCTAAAGGTCCAAGATTTCTCTTTAGATGGACTGATTCGTATCACCAGCGGGCCTGGAATCGTACAAAACACTGCCTACTTTGTCATTGAATAAAAACGTATCCCTGTTTTTTCTCTGAAATCCTCTCAAAAACGCAGGAAATGCCATTTCAGAAGGTTCATTTTTCAAAATTTTCCGGGGGAGAATATACCCCGGACGCCCCTAGGAACCTCGCGCCTTCGGCCCTCGCTGGTCCCCTCAAGCAGTGGGAAGACCCCCCCCCCCATTCAAAATCCTGGCCCATTCAAAAACCCCCCATTCAAAATCCTGGCCACGGGCATG